TAAGTCAAATCAGGGAAAGACAATTATCATATGATCTCACTGATATGCGGAATTTAAGAAATCAGGCAGAGGATCATAGGGGAAGAGAGGAAAAAATGAAACAAGATGAAACCAGAGAGGGAGACAAAAGAGACTTTTTTTTTTTAAAGGTTCTTTTTTTTTTTTTAAGATTTTACTTATTTGTCATAGAGAGAGAGAGAGCACAAGCAGGGGGAACAGCAGGCAGAAGGAGAAGCAGGCTCCCTGCCAGGCAAGGAGTCCAACATGGGACTCGATCTCAGGACCCTGGGATCATGACCTGAGCCAAAAGCAGATGCTTAACCGACTGAGCCACCCAGGCATCCCATCAGAGACTCTTAATCTTAGGAAACAAACTAAGCGTTGCTGGGGAGGGGGTGGAGGGATAGGGTGGCTGGGTGATGGACATTAGGGAGGATATGTGTTGTGGTGAGCACTGGTTGTTGTGTAAGACTGATGAATCACAGACCTGTACCCCCGAAACAAATAATACATTATATGTTAATTTAAAAAAAAAGGCCTTGGAGGAAACAGGGAGATGGTGTTCAAAGGGTACAAACTTACAGTTGTAAGATGAATAAGTTCTGGGAAATCTAATGTACAGCATGGTGATTATAGCTAATAATACTGTATTACATACTTGAAAGTTGCTAAGAGAGTGGATCTTAAATGTTCTCATCACAAAAAAGAAGTGGTAATTAGGAGACAAGATGGAGGTGTTAGCTCATGGTATGGTGGTAATCATTTTGCAATGTATAAATATATCCAATCAACGCATGTACACCCTAAACGTACACAATGTTATCTGTCAATTATGTCTCAATAAAGCTAAGAGGGAGGAGGCCTTAGAAATTACTCTTAGGAATGGGGCGCTTGGGTGGCACAGTTGGTTAAGCATCTGACTCTTGGTTCAGCTCAGGTCATGATCTCAGGGTCATGAGATGGAGCCCCACGTTGGCTCCTCATTCAGCATGGAGTCTGCTTGAGATTCTCTCTCCCTCTCCCTTTGCCCCTCTCGCTCATGCTCTCTCTCTCTCTCTCTCTAAAATAAATAAACAAGTCTTAAAGAGAAATTACTCTTAAGGCAAACTCTGACCCTCAGGTGACAGAAGCCCCCTTTCCCAAGAATATCAGCTGGTAGATATCTATCTTGGTAGAAAAGGCTCAGGAAGGAAGGAAGGAAGGAAGAAAGAAGGAAAGAAAAAAAGAAAGGGGGGGAAAGGATTTTTTCATCAATACCAGCTTGTCTAAAGAGGGCTCAGCATCTCCGGCGGGATAGACTCTTCTTGGTCTTTCTTCATGGGGACACATCACTGCTGTCCTCCAAAATGGGAACTTCAGAGGACCCGAGGATATTCAAACCAAGGCTACTGTATTCTTTTCTTCCACCTAGAGATACATCCCTGAACTAATTTTGCATGCTCAGATATCCCTCCCACCTGCACCGGCTCCTTCCCCAAAAAGCATAATGCTGAAAGATGTTAACAGCAGGCTTTGTTCATCCGTGGCTGGGAGCCTCAACCAGGGACAGGCTGTCCACCCCCCCCAACACCCCTTGTGTTCAAATGCTTTCTATTCCCATTTTGGGGAAGAGAACATCTTCCATTTTTCATGCCATTTGACCCGTGGAAGTCCTACCTTTTCAATTGTTCCATTACACTGGGACACACCTGGATTCATTCAGCATCTGCACACCGTTTGGGTACCTGTTATGAACTTAGCATAGCATAATCAGAGGTAGCTTCAGCAGGCCGTGGGCATCCATCACAGCAAAAGGCAGTGGTGTGCTCTTGAAAGGAACACCAATAGCCAGAGAAGGTGAAAAATGGAGGATTGAGGGTGATATACAGGGCTGCAAGCCAGGTCCGGGGAGCCCAGCGTCAGCCCTGCAGCCCCAGGCATGAGCTTCACTGAGGTTACTGTGTGCTCACACTGCGCTCACATACTTCTGTGAATCATACTAGGGCATTTACAGGCTGCCATGTGTGGTCACTTCATCACCCCACCCTTCTCATTTCCTGAATCTTGCAAGGCTGTCTGGGTCCCGCAGAACGGCCTCAGTCTCACTCCTACCAGTCGGTGGAAGAGGAACTCCCACAGGCTCCCGTTGGCCCCTTCCTCCAGTCCCCTCCTCGGAGCCGGCCCCGGACTTGGAGATGGATTACAGAACTCCCAGCAGGCTCCCCGTGGATCTGCCCTATTACCACGGCCCTCTGTCCAAGAGAGACTGTGAGACCCTGCTGCTGGAGGACGGGATAGACGGCAACTTCCTGATAAGGGACAGCGAGTCCATGCCTGGAGTTCTGTGCCTCTGTGTCTCGTGAGTAGTCTCACCTGCCATACATCCGGGCCCTTACCCTGAGTGTGGCCCTGATAGCGCAACGCAAAAGAAGTTGTATTTCACTCTGGCCTTGCAGCCCCAGTGAGCCGAATGAGATACAGCGAGGCAGGGCTTGACGGATGTGCAAGGAGTGTGTCTGTCCCAGCGCCACCTGCTCGCCCCAGCAGGACCCTCTGCAGAAGCAGGCGGGGGTGGGGGTGGGTGACAGCAAAGGGAAGGGCTGCAGGAAGCATGGAGGTGCCCGGGAGAAAGGCCCTTTCCTGGACAGGTTGGCTTAGTTGCTATGGAAGAGGCTAGATGTCCTTCATGAAATTGTAATCTGAGAGACTAAGTGTTCACATATATTCCGCCGGACTACTTAAAGTATGATTTCAAATTCTTTTAGGTTCGTAAAGAGCTTCAACATGCATCATTTCCTTTCATCCTCTTTAGAGCCTATCAAGGCCGGCATAAGCATTTTCTAGATGAAGAAACAGAGACCCGGATTTCTCGAATGCCTTGCTTATGTTAAAATGCATCTGGCATTTCCAGAGAGTTCAGTATGAAGTTCTAGCAGCAACTCTGCTGAAGGAGCTTGTTTAGACCCGGTTAGAAAACAATCCCCGGGGGGTGCCTGGGGGGCTCAGTCGGTTAAGCGTCTGCCTTCAGCTCAGGTCATGATCCCGGGGTCCTGGGATCCACCAGCATCCGGCGTCCAGCTCCCTGCTCAGCGAAGAGTCTGCTTCTCCCTCTCCCTCTGCTCCTTCCCCCACTCATGCGCCCCCCCTCAAATAAATAAATAAATAAAATCTTAAAAAAAAAAAAAAGAAGAAGAAGGAAAACAATCCTGAACAGGTATCAGTGAGAACCCACTATCTTTAAATGCTCTGTTTGGAGAGATCACTGAAGTTTTTCTTCTACCTGCTAGAGGAATTAAAACCCAAGTGTCTATGGATATGCTTCAGTGCTTCCGAGAGTGAGGACAAAAAGGACCGTCGTGACTAACAGAACAGGCAGAGATCTCTTGGCTTCGTTGTATGATACCAGGGATGCAGGTAAAAGAAAGATAGCCTGAAAGGGTTAGCAGTTGGAACTTTCACGTTACCAGTGATGACGGGGCGGGGGGGGGGCAGTTCATATAATTTTAGCCGTTGGTAATTCTTCTTTTGAGAGTTGCACAGTCACATTCTTTACCCATTTTAGCTTGAGTTGTTTGTCTTCTGTTCCCTTCCCCCCGCCCCAGTTTCTACGTATGAAGGTAAAACATTTCTTTTTCCAAAAAGGACACGTGCCCAAAAGAAAACTATAGAACAATTTCAATTTCAATTAATATCCATTTTCAAGAAACTCCTAACACAACAGAAGCCAGTAACATTAAAGGAGAAAATATACCATTCTCAAGTTCGGTCCATTCCAAGAAGTCAAGGATGGTTCCAAGTTGGGTGAATTAGTAGTTTAATTACATATTAGTAGGTCAAAGTTGACGAACTGCGTAACTCGCTCAAATTTGCTTAAAGGGTGTTAGATAAAATTCAACATCCATCCCTCAATTAAATACACACACATACACACACATGCATGCCCTTACACACTCTTAGCCATACAAAGCTAGATAGATACTTTCTTAACCAAAGGCCAGGTGAAGCATAGGAGAATCGCTGCTAAAATCATGAATGAGCCGATGATGCCCATTACCAGCACTACTAGGGAGCATTTTCCAGGAGATATGAGCAAGTATAATTAGCCAAAGGAAATAAAGGTAAAAATTGAAAAGGAAGATGTAAAATTATTATTATTTGCAGCTGACATGATTTTATACCTGTGAAATCCAAAATTTAATTGAAAAAAACCTAAAAAGTAAATTTAAGAAAATTCGATTAACAGTATCTACTTATAAAATTGAAATTAAAATCAATAGCTTTTTCATTAAAAAAAAACAGTAACCAGTAAGAAAATATAATAAAACAGGTCATTTACATTAGCAAAAAAATAATAATACTCAGAAATAAATGTGATATGAAAGGTGTAAGGTTTGTATGAAGAAAACTTTAGTACCTACTGGGGAACTCACTAGAAGAGGTACATGAAATTAGAGACTCAATTTGGAAGCATATCAGTTTACCACAATTAATCTATAAATTTGGTATGTTTCCAGTAAAAAAATTAACAGAATTTTTTAAGTTTTCTTCAAGAATCATAAAGTTTATTCAGGTGGGACGGGGAGCACAAGGAACCTGCTAGAATAGCCAAAAATATTTTTTATTTAAAAAAAGGGGACTAAGGGCGCCTAGCTGGCTCAATCGGTAGAGCGTGTGACTCTTGATCTGGGGCCTTGTAGGTTGGAGCCCCACAAGACGTGGGGAAATTACTTAAAAATAAAATCTTAGGGACACCCGGGTGGGTCAGTCGGTTAAGCATCTGCCTTCAGCTCAGGTCATGATCGCCAGGTCCTGGGATCGAGCCCTGCATCGGGGGTCCCTGCCCAGCGGGGTAGTCTGCCTCTCCCTCTCCCTCTGCTCTTCCCCTTGCTTGTGTTCTGTCTCTCTTTGTCAAATAAATAAATAAAATCTTAAAAGAAAACTTAAAAAAAAGGAGTTTGGTGCTGACAGATCAATGGAATAGAATACAGAGTCTGGTAGAAATAAGGCGAAATACCTTGGAATTTAGCATATGATTAAAATCATATTTCACATCAATGATAATGAACAACCATGAATGCTGTTGGGGTGCTTGACTGAGCCTTCCGAAAAAAATACACCTGAATTCCTTTCTTCTTGAAGTAAAAGTAATTCAAAGTGGTTCTAATGCATAAGTTATTTTTTTTAAACATGAAACCACATGTACTAAGAAGAAATGATGAACTTTTAAAATATACACCTGGGGATGAGAAGGGCCTTTCTAAGCAGGATGTAAAGCCCAGAAGCCAAAAAAGAAAAGTCTGATGAATCTGACCACTACTAAAAAAAAAACTGCTGGTAAAAACAACTTAAAAGACTATCAGCAAACTGACAGGATGAGTGAACCTCATAAACAGATAGGTGATTTTAAAAATCAATACAAAACTAGGTAAAGGGAAAGAGAAGGAGATTCTTGGAAACAGAAATGTGAAAAAGAAAGAAGGAAAAATGCTAGATCTCACTCATAACTAAAGAAATAGAAACTGGAAGAATAATGAGATACCATTTTTACCTGTTCAATAGGCAAGAATTAAAACTATGAAAATACTCAGACAAAGTTAGGGTGCCAGGAAGCAGACACCCTCATACAGGTGAACACAGTCTCTTCACATGGTAATGTGGCCCAAACATAAAATGCATGGATGTAAACTTTGACCCCAAATTCACTTATTAGTGAATAAATAAACCTACCTTGGCTGGCTAAGTTGGTAGAGTGTGTGACTCTTGACCTTGGGGCTGTGAGTTCGAGCCCCCATTGGGTATAGAGATTAGTGGGTTTTTTTTTTTTAAGATTTTATTTATTTATTTGACACAGAGAGAGAGAGAGCACAAGCAGGGGAAGTGGCAGAGGGAGAGGGTAGAAGCAGACTCCGTGCTGAGCAGGGAGCCCAACATGGGACTTTGGGATCATGACCTGAGCCGAAGGCAGACACTTAACCGACTGAACCATCCAGGCGCCCCAAGTGTAGAGATTACTTTAAAAAGATCTTTTTTTAAAACACCTATCTTATATGACCTAATAATAGCCTACCTTATCTTACTTATGACAGCATGAGCATGTGCAAATTGATCAATAAGAATGGGTAAATCCATATATCGTTTGAAAAAACCTCCAATATCTATCTATGGTAAGGAAAAGGCAAGATGCAAAGCATGATCCCATTTGTTTAAAAAAAAAAAGTATGCCTGGGTCTTTGTATATTCCTATACAGTTCTAGGAGGTATATAAGTAAGAAACTTATAATAGCTGGGAAATTGAGAAAGAGTGACTTGGGGAAATTTATTCATTTGATAACTTTGCACTGTTTAAATGTTTTATATGTGCATGTATGACTTTTGTAATGAAAAAAAGTGTATAAAAAAGTAGTGAATCCCTGCTATCTATTCAAACACTGTGCTAGGCCCAGGGGGCTTCCAATAGGGAACCTGCAATTTGTTTTTCAAGGAGACCCAAAGCATGTAAATAAATTAGAAAAAGGTGAAGTATAAATTTAAGAAGAGACAATTTTATGCAAACGGAAGGGCCAAAAATATGAGCGGGAAAGTCTTCTTAGAGGAGATGGTATTTGAGCTGGGACCTGGAAGAGTGGTAAGATTTGATTACACGGAAATGGAAATGAATAATAGAAGCTTTATGTATTCATTCAACACCGGGAGGTATGTTAGGGAGGGAAGGGGGCAGGAACAGAGGTCTAGAGGCAGGATGTTTTAAAGCACACATGAATCATACAGGGTTCCTAAAAGGTAGCTTGGAAATTAGCTTTTGAAAAAGTAGGTTTGGGATAATATTATGGGGTCTGAGAAGAATGAGTCCATAGCAGGGAGATGTAGATGGTTTCCAAGCAGGCAAGTGACAAGACTGGAACCCTCCACACTCCCAACTGGAGTTTTAGGAACTCCAATCTGATATGTGGAGGATGCACCAAAGCTGTCGGATGATGGCGATTAAGACCATTGTGTCTCCAGATGGGAGATGGTGAGAGCGACGGGGGAGCCGGTAGTGTGAACGGGAAAAGAAGGTGCAAGGGATGTCATAGAGACAGGAGACCTTGATCCAGACCTCAGTGTAGGTAGTCTCTACTGGGATTCTCTTTAAAAATCAACATTTATTTTCAACTGTTTTGTGGAGTATCAACCCAGCTTGTGCGTTCTTCTAAAGTGAAAGTCACTAAGGAACGTGAAACATAATAATAAAATCCAATGAAGAGGGAAGAATGCATATTTGTGGGGCAACTGCCCATAATCAGGCCTCACCCTCTTCCCTGCCCACATCCCTGAAAGGCAGACACATTTCAGGTACCCTCAGGCTTAAGGCTCAGGTCA